AAAAAAACTCAGTGAGTTGCAAAAGAACACAAATAGGCAACTAAATGAAATCAGGAAAACTATACATAAACGAATGAGAATACCAACAAAGAGAAAGCAACCACAAAAAAGAACCAAACAAATTCTGGAATGGAAGAATAACTGAACTGAAAAATTCAAATAGAGAACTTCAATAGCAGACTTGATTGAGCAGAAGAATCAGCAAACTCAAAGACAGGTCATTTGAAATTATCTGGTCAAAGAAGCAAAAAGCAAAAAGATTGGAAAAGAGTGGAGAAAGCCTGTGGGACTTTTGGGATGCCATTAAGTGAACCAGATGTTATAAAAAGAGAGTCCAATATGTGTAAGACTTCTATCATAGGAATTCAAAATTTACCAAACAAAATAATGAAGCCAACATGGTAATGACCAGAGTCAGGGAAAGCATGGGAGCTATCCAACTTCCTCATCATCACCATCTGTTCATTTCTTTGCCTCACATTCTTTCCTTAGAAATGAAGAGTTCCAATTGTTTCCCAGATTGTGATGCAAACCAACTCCCTGAGAAAGACTGCATCTCTCCTCTCTTCCAAAGCTGGCTGTCTATTGACTGGAGTCGGGTGAAAATAATTAAATATTTCAATATCAAAGTTCATTAACCAAATTACTATTGTGATAATATTATATCTAAAATAAACTCCCTCAACTTTCTGCTAATTGGAATTTATCCACCCTTCAAGCTTCCGTCCAAGTCTCTTCTTTTTCAGTTACTCCAGCCTGTATTGTTTACAGCAGTAATTAATTGCTCTACCCTTAGAAAGCTGTGTGACTTTGATTAAGTCGCTTAACTTCCCAAGCACTTTCTGGGAGTGAAATAAGATTACCTCTGAAATTGCACTCAGTTCTAAAAGTCAGTGAGTCTGTGTTCTTCAGTGCTTTGGGAAAAGTAGAGGGTTGGTGTCGAGTCAACTAAAAATGACCAATGTATTATATGATAACTGGCATCTGATTAAATGGGTGCACAACCTCATAGGTCAGGTGAATTTACATAAAACTGTGAACACTGACAGAGGGAGGAAGATAGTATGAGGACTTTCAACTGCTCTTTAATCCTGCAGAGGGAGAGGAGCTCTCTACATACCCCCTCTACTCATAAGATACTGGATCTGTTTAAGTATATGTTCTGTTCCCAGAGTTCCCTTAATGGTGGATTGACAGAAAATGCTCCAGATCTTCTGTCTGGAGCATAGCATGACACTGTGCTATGCAGATTGCAGGGCTATATGAAGAAGTGTCAGACATAACAATGTATAGATGTAGGCAATCTCAGGCTCATGACTCTGACCCAAGGGAGCAGGTAAAGCCTGGCTTGAGTGGAGACTTCTGACTCAGAGCCAGCAGCCAAGGGAGATTTTCACACCTCTGCAAATTGGCAGGGAACATATGATGCTCTTTGGTATTAAGAGAGGAAAACCAAGAGGAAAATAAATTATTCTTTGAAGAATTTAATTTTAAAATAGTAGTTAACAACTACTGATCACTTAGGGTATGGCATGAGCTATGGATGGCTTCACTTAATACTCATTAAAAATCTAGGGGGCAGGTACTATTATTATTTCCCTTTTATAGATAAAGAAGCTGAGGCTGGCCAGGCCCTGTGGCTCACACCTGTAATCCTAGCACTCTGGGAGGCTGAGGCAGGAGGATCGTTCGAGGTCAGGAGTTCGAGACCGGCCTAAGCAAGAGCGAGACCCTATTTCTACTAAAAAAAAAAAAAAATAGAAAGAAATCAGCTGGACAACTAAAAATATATAGAAAAATTAGCCGGGCATGGTGGCGCATGCCTGTAGTCCCAGCTACTCGGGAGGCTGAGGCAGAAGTATCGCTTGAGCCAGGAGTTTGAGGTTGCTGTGAGCTAGGCTGATGCCACAGCACTCTAGCCCAGGCAACAGAGCGAGATTCTGTCTCAAAAAAAAAAAGGAAGCTGAGGCTAAGAGGGATTGAGCCGATTGTCCAAAATCGTAAAGTTTGTCAGAGTGCAGGATCCTTTTGAAAAGAATTCAAGATCTTAAACATTTTAAGATTAAACACAACTTAAGAACACGACTGAAGTAAGAGAATGTTTCTCAACATTTATTATAGCCTTGAAAGTGAGAAAGCAAGTGCTTAAATTTTCCTTAGCGAAACCTTTTTACAATTTCAAAATATTAAAATCTCTAAAGGGCAAGCACTCACCTCTGGGAAAATCAGTTTGCAAATACTTTCTGCCAACGTGTGAAGATAGACTCGGCTCCGACTGGTCTTTCTTTGAGGAAGACTCTCTTGCACATTCTTCTCAGGAATGTCTTGACAGATGGGCGGAGTTGCTTTGCAGCTCTCTGAGCTTCCTGCTACCTCCTCTGCTGACTCTTTAGGAACCTGACCTGGTGCCAGTAAGGAGAAAGGACACTCCCCTGTGATCTTGAGATCCTTGAGTTTCGTGCAGAACATGGTGTTGCTGGTGCTCACGCTGCTCTGATCTTCTCCTGATGAGCTGTTGTTCTTATGTGGGACCGAAATTCTTCGAAGAAGCCACTATCAATTCAAGGGCACTGGTAACTGGGGTGTCTATGGGCATAGAAAAGTCAGAACAGCAAGAGGAATGACTTTATATGCTGATGTAATATGTGTGCATTTATGCATATATTTATGATTTACTATATGTGCATTTCAGTATACTAGTAAATATACAGTATACTAGCAAAATACTTGCTTTTAATATTTTAATGCTTTTCAAATAAATGTATTTTTTCACAATGTCCTTAGCATGAACTATGGATTTTTATTCTATATAACCCATTTATCCAGTTTAATTTTACAAGAGTAGAACACTGTGGTTTTATAACAGAAGTCAAGTCTAAATCTATGTTTTATTAATGCCAGTACTACTACATTCTCATTATGCTGTCCTTTCTGAAAAATCAGAATTGTACAAACCAATGTTCCAAAAATACCTGAAGGAAAATAATATATATAATGGTAACCATGTATACGTTTTCAGATTCGAAGCATTGACTTTTAGATGAAAAAAGTTCAATGAAAATGATTGTTACAAAAGAAAATATTTATTGCTATAAATATTAAATAGAAAAGTAATTAAAAATACTGTTATAAATTTTTTTTTTCCCCCAAAGAACTCTTTATCCCTACAAACATACCATGGGATTTGACGGAATCTCTGGATCTGAATCTAGACAACACTGGGGTAAATCAAGAATGCCTCTCTTCCCACTGAAATCATATTCCAACATATTTCTCCTTGTGCTTTTGTTTTTGTTGATGGGATTGTAAATCCTCACACAATTCACAGCCCATTTATCATTAGTTGTTTGTCACTGGAACTGTCTAGCTGTGAATTCAGCTTATCAACAATATTAATGATCTTGATGAACTCAGTCCACCAACTGTTTCCTACTCTTGGAAAATAAAAGCAAAACACACAAAAGAAGTAGAAATGAATCCACATTTACTAATCCCCTACTGTGTGTCTGATACAGTGCTGGGAACTCTATATTTATAATTAATCTTCACAGCAACCATATGACACAGGTATTATTATCCTTAATAGGCCAGAGGCCCAAAAGTTTAGGTCATTTTCTCTCATTCAAAATGCTAGAAAATGATAGAGAAGGGCTTCAAATGCAGATCCATATGACGACAGAGCCAATGTGTTTTCTATGACCCCGAACTCATATTACCAAGTTAGACCAGTTTCTACATAACCATGTTTAGTTTATAAATTAATATTAATTTATTTTGCAAATATGATTTATAACTTTATATTGAAATCCAATCAAGAACACAATTCTGCTCCTTCTTTGCTGATATTTGAATTATCCAAGACACAGCCTTATATTTTAATCTTCAGAACTGGAGTTCAATTATTTTTTTCTTTTCTATGCTTCACAATGTCCTTAATATGTTCCTAATACGTATAAGCAACAGCCTGGAAGTTGTCACAGGTTAAGTCATCTGAGTTTAGAACAATGGATGATTCATTTTCCAAAGCTAAATTCAACATCTGTCACCCCTGGAGGTGTCATGGGACATTAGGTACAGAAGAAGATTATGGATGCTGACAGGCCAAGAGCAGCTGCCAATGCTCTCTGTTACCTAAAATTATACCCCAAATCTGTGATCATATGTAATTAATGAATCTTCAAGACAGCACAAAGGAAGATCCTATATATTCATGAGCAGAAAACATATTCTGCCAGAAGAGAATGGGAGCTGTCTATCTCAACAATCTACTAAAGTGACCCAAAGGTCACTAGAGGAAATGGTTACTTGAATTCTGAAAGACCTAAAAACCTAAGGATTTTAAGAATCCACGTTTCTTATAGGATTGAATTTAATATCTGTTTCTCAGTCCTTACTACATCTCAGCATAACTCTAATCATTGTTTACTAATTCCTGTTCTGATTTATGGTTTAAATCAGTGATCAATAAACATTTTTGTAATGGTTTGCAGCTCTGTAGGCTATACAGTCTCTGTTGCAACTACTCAACTCCTACGATGGCAGGGTGAAGGCAGCCATAGATGACATGCAAATGAAGGGGCTTGGATGTGTGCCAATACAACCTTACTTGCACAGGCTGTGAATGTAGCCCAGTAGTTTGCTGACCCCTGGTTGAAAAGGCTGAGTAGATGCACTGGAGCATTTTGGTTTAAATGTAATTTTGACTATAGGGCCAGAGTTATTTCCTCATCCTCTCTACCCCCACCTCTCTCCAAAAATAGCAGCCTATGTGGATCTAGTTTTGTACAACTTGAATGTAATCAATGAGAATTTAGCAGATAATATTAACTAACCATTTATAAAAATAATAATATCATTATTTTATATTAATTTTCAGGAAGTAGAGTTGTATTAACCAAATGTCACTATTTCAGTTATATCAAAATATAACTATAATAGCTAGCAGAAGAGAGTACTAAAAAAAAAAAAGAAAAACCAAAAAATGGAAGACAATAAGAAATAGAAAATTATAGGTTGGATCTGACAAAGGCATAGAACTGCTTCCTAAAATAAATTATTCTAGCACACGTGAGAATTTTAATATTGGATTTAGAAGTTTGACATAATATAGCTTATGATAAATCCTTCCATTAAATTTAATCTCTCTTATTCACACTGGACTTCAACCTTGGCATCCAAAGACGATATTTTAATTCTCATCTTCCAACTCAATCTGGCTGCAGCAGGATGCGAATGACCAGCTAACCTTCCTTGAAATCCTTTCTTTTCCTGTATTGCACAGTAGTATAATTTCCAGAAAATGTGTCAAACACTGTTTTTTATTAAAGTAAAAACAGCAACAGGAAACAAGTTGTGCTTACTTGAAGATCAGTAGAGTGTTTAGTCTCATTAAATCACATATGTATAAACAAACTAATTAGCATTCTTCATCTGTTCAACTGATGAAATTACACTATGAAACAGATGCACACAGTGCTGATACCTTGGAAACCTATGTTTATCTTGCCTTTGCCTGCCAGGAATACAGAATATGTTCTTCAGCTAAACTAGTGATGGATTTTATGGGTAACGTTAGCAGTAACTTCAGAAATGGTTTGGTCAGTTGATGAATTCAGTACATAGCTGGTGGTAGAAATGGTAGGAACATGGTAAGGGGAAAACAAATAAATTAAAATAATAAATTTGGTGACAGGCCTTGGCAAGCAGGGGTATAATATGTTCTCAGAAACTTGAAGAGGTACTTGCCATCCCCAAAGTTGATGATTAAACAGCTTCCAGCTATACTGAATGCTGGCTCCTTTTTACTAGTGAGTGATTAACTTTGCTGTGGTGAGAATAATGACCCAGCTACTGGCCCGGTATTAATAACCAGGACGTATTATTGTTCAGGGAAGGTGGCTCTCCAGCATTTAAACTCTAGGATTTAATTAAGCATGAACACCTTGTTTACTACATGTAACAAGGTCATGTAGACCTGAGGAAAACACCCTTTCAGGACTCTTTGACACAGAAAGCTTCTTTTACAACAGCAGGTCTTAAAGAGTAGATTCCAAAGCTAGCAATGGCAAGAAGGGGCGAGCCTAAGAATTGTCTCGATAGTAAAAACAAAGAGCTATATCTGACATCTAATATTACACCCAGGACCTCAACATGCCAAATCTGTGATTAAAAAGGTACAAGTGTTTTAAGATCAAATTCAAAAGGCCATATTTTTAAGAGCACCCAAAAGAAGGAAAGAACTTAAAAGAAAATTGCCTTAGCAAGGATAAAGTTGCCATACTTCAGTACAAATTATAACAATTACTTTCATAAACTAAAAAAAACAGCTTAGTTTTCAGGTAGGCAGAAAATGTAGACAGTTTTTTCTTCCTCAAACATTGAAAATATATTAAATAAAATCCCATAAATCAGTCTTTTAAAATGTGTTTCTTTTTACTTTGCACTAAGAAATGTTTATAGAACCTTCTCTGTGCTATAACAGGAAAGCAAGACAAAGTAGTAGAAAAACTGGTTAGCATATCCAAGTCTCTCCAGCACAAAGTTAAATAAAAAAAGGCAAACAAATCTTAGACCCTTTCATCCCATTACTCCTCCCTAGTACTACCAATGTCTCTTTATTGTAGTACTTGTTGGAAGAACAGGCCTTATGGGCAGTGTTCATTTCCTTACGTCATATTTATTCCTATTTCTACAACTATCTGGTTTTTGTTTCTAGTACGTTACTGAAATCTCCTTGTTAACTTCAATGATGCTTAAAGGTCAAAGCTCAAAGAATCTTTTGGCTTTTGCTTGAATTCTCCATTCATTTTCATTTTCTTGTTCATAATCTTGTCTCATAGATTCTTTGCTATTGTCAGATTGCCTTCTACTTTGTCAGGCATTCACTTGCTCATTTTTCATTCTATTTAGCAAATATTTATATAAGCAATATCCTGCTATGTGCAGGGCATTATTGTAGACACAGGGCAGAGCTCCTGTTCTCATGAAGCTTACAGTCCAGAAAGAAAACTATTTCTGACATGGTTTCAAGTGTGGCATGTGGTATAAAAATGGGAGGCACCTAGTACTTTAGGAGTGCAAATCAGGGGTCTGAACCTAGTCCCATGAGAAGCATCTGAGCTGAGTCAGGTTAAGAGAGTTCCAGAAAGAACAATATGCTTGGAAGCCAAGACAGACCTAGTCATGTTCTAGGAATGGAAATAATTCCAGTGGAGCCAGGGGACAGGGTCAGGGAGAGCAAGGTGATGCTGGTGAGAGATAAAACAGGCAGAGCAGGCTTTTGCAGAATTTTGTAAATCATGTTAAACAAGATAATATTCTATTCTAAGGGCAATCAACTACATGGCTAAGAAGCAAGAGAATGAATAAATTAGACTGTGTTTTTAAAAGATTATTTGGGATGTAGATTGAAAAATGGATCTGAGTGGGACAGATGGCAGATCTGGGTTGGGCAAAAATGGTGACCTGGGAATAAAAAAAAGCAGACCAAATGCAGAAGTATTTGAGAGAGAAAACCCACAGGCCTTAGCTACTGTATTGGACATGGAGGTTCAAGGAGAGAGAGGACATATTCCTCTGACTTTACT